GGGAGGCTGAGGCAGAAGGATCACTGAGGCCAGCCTGAACTACATAGTGATACCCTCATTCAAAAAAACAAATGAACAAAAAAACCCACAAGAATATAACTGATTTGCTAATATGCTAATATTTTAACAAAGAAACTAGGCCAAAATGGGATTAGGGCAACTGTCTTTACTATCTTTGAAGGCTGAAATAGATTTATCATAACTACTTCATTAATCTTCATATTTTCTAGGGCTGATGGGACCATCATGTCTAAATCTGTTACTTTACATTGTATTGAAGGAGGCTTTAAGTGAAAGTAAATTGTAAAAAATCCTGACTGGACATGATTCGCAGGGGGCCTTAGGTGAAAGGATCAAAAGTCTGAATCCCTACCTGGGCAACTTGGACCGAGTCTCAAAATAAAAAAAATGGCTGGGGATGTGCACAGCACGAAGGGCTTAAGTTCAAACCCAAACCTGTGCAGTGGGAGATACATGACTATTACGTGCATTGTATGAAAATAATAATGTAGAGAGACTTTTGTGGCTCTCAAGACCAGAATTGTGGGGCTGAGGATTTAGCCCAGCGGCACAGCGCCTGCCTGGCAAGCACAAGGTCATGAGTTTGATTCCTAGTACCGGAAAAAAAAACCCAAAACACAGAAAAACAAAACAAAGACCAGAATTGTTATTTGATGTAGAAATACATGTGAAGGATATTTATTTAAGCCTTAAATTATTCACTGAAAATTTTCCTTGAGCTTCCAGGCCAGTAAGTTGAGAAATGTAAGGTAAAATCAGTTATTAGAATGAGAAGAAAAGTTTATGCAAATTGTCTATATTTTAATCGGAACCATTTCTGTTATATTTTCCTTGTCTAAAAAGTACTTGGTGCATTTCTTGCAGTGAGGCAGTATGAATGTCTTTTTCAGAGGCATGAACTTCAGAAGTGCTGCACTTCTGTAATACAGTGTTCTCAATGGAAAACTTTCGTGTCTTAGTTCACTTGTGCTTGATAGATATTCACAAGTTTAAATACTGTTTAATGGAAGAGAACTTGACACTTGCTTCTTCTCATTTTGTTCCCCTCTTTGGATCATATAATGAGCTATGTTTATTTTGTAATTACAATATTTGCTTATAGTAAAGGACAATGAAGGAATATTAATGAAAAAATGGTTAATTGGTTATCCTTCCCACACCCCAACAGATCCATAGCCGCTTGACCTGAATATGAACACAGAGCTTTGTGTTTGGGATTCACATGGGACTGATTTTTAAATCTTGTAATAGTTTGGAAATCTTTCCATGTCAGTGTCTTGAAATCTACCTCACTCTTTTTTGTTCTTTTGTTTTGACACAGTATCTTGCTGTGTATTGTAGGCTGGCCTTGAGATCCTCCTGCCTAGGCCTCCAGAGTGCTGGGATTATAGGCATGTACGCCAACACCTGGAATGAAATCTACCTTATTCTTATAAATAACTGTATATTAGTGTCATACCAAAGTACCTCAGTTCTTAAACATAGAATATACTTCTTTTTAATAAACTACTATAATTGGCTCTTACATGGCCCAGAACTGAAAACTATTCACACGATATTTAAACCTGCTAGTTCAAGTGCCCGGGGTTCAGCCCCATCCTCCTGAGTTTTTAGCCCCATCCTCCTGAGTTCTTCCCCTGTGTATTTCTTAGCTGGTTCACTAGAAATTTTTTTTTTTTTTTGTCTTTTTGAGACAGGGTCTTGCTATGTAGTTCAAGCCGGCCTGGAGCTCACTTTGTAGCCCAGGCTGGCCTCGATCTGGCAATGATCCGCCTGCCTCAGCCTCCTGAGTGCTGGGATTATAGGCGTGTGCCACCACGCCCAGCTGGAAATCATTCTAAAACTGAATTGTATTTTTTCAAAAATTTTTGAGACAGGGTCTTACTTTGTATTGCCGCTGGTCTTGAACTCACTCTATAGCCCAGGCTGGCCTCAAACTTGGGGCAGTCCTCCTGCCGCAGCTTCCCGAGTGCTGGGCTCACGAGCATGCACCCCCATGTCGAGCTAACTGAATTATATTTTATCGATGGCACTACATTTTGAGCTGGTTAAACTTGTAGGCTTGACGAGTTCTCAGCTGAATGGGCTGCCTGAATACTTGCAGGAACTGGGTGGTTGGGACATGAGCTTGGGCACTGTACCTGGCTCTTAGCCCCATCCTCCTGAGTTCTTCCCCTGCTCTCTGCTTCCTGGATGCCTTGAGTTGAGCAGCTTTCCTCCCACCTGCCATTGTGCCATATTTCTACCTTGGATCCAGCCAGCCATGGACTGAAACAGCCAAAGTGGGTATGGTGGCTCTGGCCTGAAATTTCAGCACTAGGGAAGCTGAGGCAAGAGGATTTTGGGGCCAGCCTGAGCTGTACAGTGAGACCTCTCAAAAAACCTAAAATAGAGGCCAGGCGTGGTGGTGAACACATATAATCAGGAAGCTGAGGCAGGAAAATCATCATGTGTTTGAAGCCAACCTGGGGTACATAATCAAGTTCAAGGCCAGCCTGCATTACATAGTGAGACCCTGTTGCAGAAACAAACGAAAACCAAAAAACAAAACAACCCCCCAAAATAAATAAGTAAACATCTCTAAGTTTTCGGACACTGCTATTTTGTTACAACAAAAAAGCTGACTGATACACATTTATAACCCTAGAAGTGAGGTTATTAATGAGTATTAAGAGAAAGAAAGAAATATACTATTTGTAAATAATATCTGGTAAGAGAAAACATACCTCAGATTTAATAAACCTAGAAAGACAACCAAGGCTTTTTAAACAATTATTTAAAAAAAAATTATACACACATACTGGGTACAATTTGCATTGATTCAGTACAACATTGTTTTCCTTCTCCAAAACAACACACAGTAATAATGTTAAGATCAACATTTTAGCTGGGTGTGGTAGGGCACGCTTGTAATCCCAGTGCTGGGGAGGCTTAGGCAGGAGGGATTGCTTGAAAGTGAGTTTAGGCCATGTAGTAGGTTCAGGACCAGCCTGTACTACACAGGGAGACCCTGTCTCATAAAAACAAAACAAAACAAAAAAATCCAACAAATAAAAAAACCCCAGCATTTAAAAAAGTGTTACAGGGAACTGTGTGAGCTTTTGTGAATTGCTTTTAGATGAGGCTGTGTCAAGTATGCCTTGCAAGGCAGAATGTTTTTCCCCCTCTTGACTTTAGGAAAGGTTATTTGTCAGTGAGGACAATGTTAATGAGTTCCTTGAAGCAGTCCTGAGCCCTCCATGCAAACAGACGGTGCCTCCCACCCCACCGTTAATTGAAGTTCTTCAGGTTACTGATGAGAGGATTCAAATTCATGCAGAGGTAAGATTTTGGTGGCTTTTGGGGAGAGTGGCTAGCAAGGTTAAAGCCTGATTTTTGATTTCATAATGTCATAACTTCATTTGATTTTATTTATTTATTTTTGGTACCGGGAATCAAACTCAGGACCTTGCGCTTGCCAGGCAGGTGCTCTGCCGCTGAGCTCTATGCCCACCCCGTGTCATAACTTTAAAACAAAATGTACTGTATATGGCTGGGCAGAGGGTAGGAGAAAAGACATCTGTCTGCATATTTCCATGTGCTTAAACATTTCATTCTTAGAAGACAGAAGTCTCTTTTGACTTTCAAGTCATGGCAATTATGTCATAGAATTGGTCCATTCCTTTGAGTTACGCCTTAAGTTTGGTCATTGTTGTAGTCTTCAGTATGGGACACAAAAATAACAGTGACAGGCACCACTGATGCATGAACTGGGGGAAAGATGGCTGTGAAGAATCACAGAAATTCAAAAAGCTCAAGAAATCTATCCGTGTCCTTGTAAAAGTGACAGTTAAAGAGTTTCGTAGACCATGTTTAAAAGCTTGGATTATTTTCTCCTGAGGGAGATAAGGAGCAATGGAAAGGATTTAGTCAGATCCTTTAGACATGGATGACTGGGGAGGAAGCACAGAAGCATATTTGCAGATCTGCAAGGGTTAGTACCATACAGCTTTTTTAAAAATCCATTTTGCAGTGGTACAGTAATCTAATGTGATATTTCGAAGAATGATTAATCTCATTTTTTCTTTGATAGTTACAAGAATGTAGTAATCCTGATCAGCTTCGAGGAAAGGAAAAAATAATCAATGAAGGATGTCCTCTATCTGAAAATGAAAATATAGAACATCTTACAACCGCTACAGTTGATTCTGATTCATCTATAGCAGTTAAAGCACCAGAAATAGATATTTGTGGTTCAGCTGCAGGCTTTCAACAAGAGCCTCTTGATGTTTCTGAAATGATACTAGGACAGTCTCAGCCACCTGAGGCAAAAATGGAACCTGGATTTGTAAAAGAAAAAAGTGCTGCCTATTCAAATGAGGAAGATAGCTTAAAGGAATCTGTCACAACTGCAGAAAAAAAATTAGATGGAGGTCACCAGTCATCATCACTGAATAAAACTGCAATTCACAACACAACAGATTTTGACAGCATAAAAGAAACCAATATGCGAGATGGTAGTGTGCAGGTTATTAAAGATCATGTGACTCATTGTGCATTCAGTTTTCAGAATTCTTTGCTGTATGATTTGGATTAATTCAATGCAACTTTGCAGTTTGAGTGTTTAAAAAATTGGGGGACCTAAAATAGTTTAATTATTAAAACTAAACGTATTCTAAAATATATAAAATACAAATTGAAATGTATAATTTTAATTCCAGCAGGGAATCTGCAGATGTTTTTCCTTTGGAGTTTAAACAAAGTTTCCTTAATTATAGAAATACTAGTTTTGTGATTACTCTGATAGAGGTTTTTTCTAATGGAGAGTAAAACATTTAGTTTTAATACAACCTGAATTTGTTGACTTCTGATGTTTTTGCTGCTTTTCTTTACCATTATTTTAATAAAGTTTTAAAATATTCACTGAGTTGTTTGTCACACAAAGCAATTCTCAAGGTTGGAAGTAAGCAGAAATATGTGTGCAAGAGTGGAACTGCAGAACTACTTGTTTCAAGTGTGATGTGTTTATGTTGAAGCCAGCTTCTTAGAAGCAAAAGACCTTTAATCAGCATTAATGATTAAACAATTACAAATACACCAAATAAAATTCAGTATTTTTGCATCAATTATATTTTACTCTTCTCATTTCTGTCACACAAAGTATATATTAGAAATATAAGTACATATATGTGGTTAATGATTTTCAAAATTCAGTTTTTGAAGTTACTTCTGAAATATTAAAACATCTTGGTTTTATAGAATACATTTAAGAATCTCAGAACAGAGTTTAAAATCAGGCTATTTGCTCCAGTAGGCAGATGATCATATTACCACATCCAAATAAAACCAGTGTTTTATAATCAATTTCTTTTATAACACAAAATATGAGGCTAAGGGAAAAAGCTGAACCAGGTTTTTTTTCCCACAAAAGTTACTAGGACAGTGTGAAAGAAAATGTAGTAAAAAAATAAGTATTTGTTGATGTAGCACTGCGCTGACCCAGGCCGTGAGCTGATGTACAGTATTTCTGGGAATCTAATTCCTTCAGTTCTTTGCACTGGTGATAGAAGGTCAGGGTACCAAAAGCTGCTATAGAGCCTGGTGATTCACCCTGGTTTACAGGTACAGCCTCAGGCCAAAACAGGCCCCAGATTGGGCTGTGAGGGAGATGTGAAGGTGCCTCATAAAGCAAGGGAACCATCTGCCTCACCTTAGATGAATACACCCTTTGTCCAACCACACTGTAAATCTTCAGGTGGTAACAGTGTTGAGATTGTCTTAAATTTTCTTAGGTTGAAATTCCAATAGTACTACCTTTACAGAGGAATTAATCTTACGAATAATTTTTGGTTGAATGCACTTACATTAAAGGAGACTTCTGAAAATTGAATTGAGGGCCTGGAGCACAAGAGGCAAATGTTCCACCATTGATTGAGCTAAACTACCAGTCCCTGTATGTACTGTATTTTGTTTTGTTTTTGAGACCATGTCGCTGTGTAGGTCAGCTTGGCCTTAAACTGTGCAGTCTAGGCCGGCCTCCAGCTCAGAGCAGTCTTCCTGCTGCAGTCTCCCAAGTGCTGGGATTATAGATGTGCACCAACACGCCTGGCTTTTTCTTGTTTTTGAGACAGGGTCTCTCTGTAATCCAGACTGGCTTTGAACTTGTGGTGATCCTCCTGCCTGCCCCTACCAAGAGCCTGGATTACAGGTGTGCACCACCCCCATCCGGTTATCTGTTCTTAAAAAAAAAAGTACTATTTCAGTTAAAGCTGGCACCAGAACATGGTGCACTTTGGCACCACTGAACTTTGTATCATTTCTGGTCTTCAAAACAATTAGGACTGTATTTCCTTTACACAGCAGTTTTTTTTTTTATTGTTCCTTATTTATGCCTGGCTTTTTTTTTTTTTTCCTACTTTCTTTTTTGGCTATTTTGAAAGCCACAGGGAATGCATTCATGAATAGGGTTTTATTTTAAACTCATATAATGCATAGATAGTAAATAAATACTAAGATGTATTGCTAATGTTCAAACCTAGAATGTCTTGAATTGTATAAATAAAACTTAGTCTGCAAAAATAATTAGAAACCTTTTTATGCAAAAATGAGTATTTTATTTTGGCAGCACTAAAAGAAAAAAATCAAAACCACTGTATTTCTACATTGAGGTGAAAACAATGTTTAAAATTCCTTATCAAATACATTCCAAAAGAAAGTGTGTTCTATGAAGTTTCCAGAGCACAGGCAAATCTTAACACAACAGTACAGGAATCCATAATACTGAAAATGACTGTTCTGAGAGTGTTTAACAAACATAACTGTTGGGTTCTTAAGCCGCTGAAGCAATCCTTTCTAATAACCATGTCGAGTGAAACTGGACTGGCTCCATTAATACTCTTAATGATTTCATTGTAATACTTTTTACTATTATGAGTTTTAAATTCTGCTGTACTTAAAATAGTTTTGAAAGTGGAAAAGTGTACAAAATTTTGGATAAAAAGATTAACAGATGCAATTTAAATAAAATTTCCCACTATCTCTCCTGTGAATTAATAATAATCATGACCTTTAGCAGATAACAGACTGAATTTCAAAACCCAGCTCCCCAAATTAAAACTTTACTTTCAAATCTTAACCAGACATAACTGAAAAGGGTTGCTATATATCTGGACACCTTTTACAAGAAAAAAAAACCTTTTGTATTAAAGCAGAAACCAGTTCCTAAACCCTTGTATTATTCAATTGTATATCCTGTTGGGACAAATATCAAAAATAGAAGACTGTCACTTTTGCTTCTGTAATTGGAATTTTGTTTTTCACTGCAGTCTTCTATAACTTTTACAGAGTTCATGGTCCCTAATATCTCCCCACCCTCCATTTTTCCTAGGTGGGGAAAGGGCTACCATGGTAAACTTCTCACTGATACTCAGAGTTTTTGGAAACATGTACTGCTTGTTATTATTTAAGAGTGCCTCGATCTGGGTACTCTGGGTGGATGGCCTACATGTTTTCTTGTGATGCATACCACAGTCTCCAGCATGAAAAATCCTGGGCACTTGAGGAACCAGCACTTTCCAGTATTTTGGGAGGCAAGACACAGTCAAATACTGAAGAGTCCAGTCCCAGTTATAATCATCGTAAGTACAGAAAGTGTCCGTGCACTGAATCAGCTTCTCATACGCCTCCCGGGTCAAGGCTAAACCCATATTGTGCTCTGTGGATTTCCAAGTTTTTACATCTACCTTGTCAGCAATGCCATGGAAGCTACGACTGGCGGTATAGGTCCCCAGCGAGAGAACGTCACACTCTGGACATTCTTGCTGCTTCAATTTCCACATCTTTTTGAAGACATGGTAAAAGTCTGGGGCTAAGTAGTGATCTTCTTCTAGGAAAAGTATAAGACCAGCATAATCTCGAAGAACTTTGACCCTTTCCCACACGAAATGCAGCTTCCACCACCAGTGATGTTTGGTTTGGGAGAATTTGGCCTCTCTGTAATGACCGAAGGAGTCGGGATACTCAGCGTTAATGCACCCCAGTTTCAAAGCTGCATTCTTCTGCAGGTCTCTGGGGCAATCTCTGGGGTCACTGCCTGGAAACTCATTCGGGTACAGCTGAATGCTGAAAGGAAAGAACACCTGCAGAACCGGACAGAAATCCACCCCAGCGATCAGCTGGTTGATCTCTGTGCACCAGAAGTCGTGGCTAAAGATGACGAGGACGTCTTCAATGCCCTGGGCTTTTCGAAGTGAGTCCAGCAGCAGTCGGAGGTATTCGGGCCGGTTGTGCACCTGGACCACCAGCACCAGCTCTCGTGGGGCCCAGGTGCCAGCCTTCTCTACATTCCTCAGTGTCTGATCAAAGTTCAGCTGGTACACCAGGGACCGGTACCGCAGCGTCAGGTTGTCCGCCTCAGCCTGCGGGGCAGCGGGGACCAGCGGCGCCGCCGACGCGTTGGAGCCCCTGCGGATGCCCACCGACACGGCGGGGTGGTCCCCGCCCCGGCCGCCCGCACCCCGCGCGGGCTCGGCGTCCAGCAACGGCGGGGCCAAGGCCTCGTTCTTCCTCTGTCGCCCATTGCTGCTCCAGAGGACGAAGCCGCAGGCAGCCACCACGAGCGTCAGGATCAGCACCTTTCGCTTGTAGATGCGGAACCTCATGGTCTCCAGAGCTGGGAGCGCGGGCGGGCGGGCGCGGAAAGGAGCTGGCGGCCTTTGCACGGAAGGGGCGGGCGGGCGGCGGCCGTCGCCTCGGCCTGCGGCGCTAAGAACTGGCCCCCGCGGCCGTTCTCGCTAACTCATCGCGGGCCCCGCAGGTCCCGGGGCCCGAAGCTCTCAGCTGCCCCGCGCCGCCCGGCTTCCGCACATCCTCGTCCGGCAGCTGCAGCCGCTAGGAGCTGCGGCTCTGCATCGCCTCGGTCCTCTCCATTCAGCACCGCGGGTCCCGGAAGAAGCCCAGTCGCGGACCCACCACACCCCAGCTCCGTTACCTGCGCCTCCAACACCCTTGCGTCCCCCGCGTTCTCATCCTGCCTCGGGATCGGGGCGGCCGAGCCTGACGGACGCAGCCCAGCACCGCCCCGGCGGGTACACCTCTGACAACCCACTACTGGCCCGCGGAGCGCCGCGGCCCCCCCGACCCCCACCCTCCGGCCCGCCCCCGAGGTCGCTGGTTGGCGCTTCGCCGACGCGTCCTCAGGCGCCCGGCCGCCGGATCCGGCTTCCAATTGGCTCGCAATCCTGTCGCTCAAGTTCCGTTCCTACTTCCGCTCCGTCCTTTCCTTTCCTGTGAGGCGCGAGCCGCGTGAGGTTGGGAGCGAGGGTGACGGACTTCTCGGTAAGTGCACAAGGGGCCCGGGGCGCTTCGGACGGGAGCCCCCAGTGCTCGGAACCCGGGGGTGGAGCAGGCTCGCGTACGCGGGGAGCGAGGCTCGCAGCCTGGGCTTAATGGAACTTAAGACTGGCTTCTACATCCAGAAAAGAGCGCACGCATGGCGGCCACGGGGCCGCGAGGCCCGCCGGCTGCTCACGGACACGTCAGCCTTCTGGGCCGCGGGCGGGTGAGCGAGCTGCGGAGCGGGGAAGCGAAACCAGATCGATGTGATTCTGGAGAAGGAACGGGGCGGGCCTTAGCAGAAGCGGCTGCTCGGAGGACGGCTCCGGCCCTGCCCAAGAGCTGGGAAATGGAGGAAGCGGGTGGGGACCGGAGCCGTAAGGAAGCTGGGCTTCCCTCTGCGGAGGAGAGTAGATCGGCACCACCACCTTTTGTCTTCGTGGGCAGCCGCGGTACAGCGTCCAGGAAACGCACTTTGTACAGAGAGCCGGTTGTTCCGGCGACTCCTGGGGCGCCCGTGTGTGTGCATCCGGGCCTCGCGCTGTGGGCGAGCGCCGCCCACCCCACCCCACCCCGCGCCCACTAATTGAAGGCTTCCAAAAACATGGCGGGTGCGCGCTGCGTGCTGGCGCGCGCTGTAATCTCAGCGCTCGGAGGCGGAGGCAGAATTGCCATGAATCCAGGTTAGCCTAGACTGCCTAGTGAGTGCGAGACCAGCCTGCGTTACACAGCGAGACCCTGTCTCACAAAACCATGGGTGGGTTACATGACTGATTTATGTCATGCTCTTTTCTTATAAACGTTTGTATGGGACTTTAACTTTGCAAAATGTTTCAGGTCTTCTACCTTAATTTAAATATTTTATTGCAGTTTTCATCTTGTAGACAGCTCTACTGCCAAGATGGTCAACGTACCTAAAACACGAAGGACTTTCTGTAAGAAGTGTGGCAAGCATCAGCCTCACAAAGTGACCCAGTATAAGAAGGGCAAGGATTCCCTGTATGCCCAAGGAAAGAGGCGCTACGATCGCAAGCAGAGTGGCTACGGAGGGCAGACAAAACCCATCTTCCGGAAGAAGGCTAAAACGACAAAGAAGATCGTGCTGAGGCTTGAGTGTGTGGAGCCGAACTGCAGATCGAAGAGGATGCTGGCCATTAAGAGATGCAAGCATTTTGAACTGGGAGGGGACAAGAAGAGAAAGGGCCAAGTGATCCAGTTCTAAACTTTGTGGCAAACATGTTGAAGCTGTCGGAAGATTACCTGTAGGAAAATAAATGCAGTAGTAACCATACCTAAATCTTTGTGTTTCTTGACTCAGAATTGCATATTTAATATAGTTTTTATTTTTCTCATGTGGTTTTCAGTTAAGGATAAGTTGGGCATAGTGACATCCTTACAATCTCAGCACACGGCTGGCAGAGGCAGGAGGATCGCAAGTTTAAGCCCAAAGTGGGTAATTTACTGAAATTCTGATTTAAATAGGGAGGGGCTGGGATGTATCTCAGTGAGAAGGCTCTGGGGTTCAATCGCAGTACCACAAAAATAAAAAACTAAAATGACTTGGAAGTGAATTAAGATTCATCCTCCTCTGAAATTCTTCCTCTTAAATTTTGTTCCCCAGGAATGGAATTTTGTATTTAAGAGGAGGCCAGGAGTTTTGCTTCGAATTTTACAGTCGGTCTTTAGAAGTTAGTCACTTGGGTGAAAAATCAATAGTTGTTTTCTGGTGAGTTTCACAAGCCCGAATCAACTGGAGTTACTTGTTAAGATGCCCCTAATGGATTCTTAAAATCCTCTAGTCCTGAGCCCTTACTTTATAAATAAGGGATAGTAAGATTAAGAACAATAGTAAAAAACAAATTTATATTGTAATAAGTGCCGGCATCACTACTGTTGCACTTGGGGGCAATACTGAGTAAAATGAAGGTGTGCTGGACATGAGCCCTTTAATGTTTGGACAGCTGATCCAGTAACCTGGTTATTGCAGGATGGGCTGATAGCAGACGACATACAGTACAAAGGACTTAAGTGACAGGATGGCACATGCCTTCACACTAAGAATGGCTTCCAATTTAAAACGTGTTCATTTCTGGAATTTCCCATTTGATACTTTCAGGCTGCAGCTGACTGGTAACTCAGACCGTGGATAAAAGGGACTGGCATAATAGGTGGAATCATAATCACTATTGAGCAGCTGGAAACTGGATCAGATTTAAAAGATAAATCAGGCCTGTGCACACAGACTAGATGGTGTGGAAGACTTAAGCGAGATTAGTTAGAGCTGATGGTTGTCAGGTGCTTAGGAAGAGTACGAATTCAAGGCCAGCCTAGGAAACGGTGAGAACCTGTATCAAAAATTAAAGGGGTTAAGTCAGGCTGTATGCCTGTTATTTCTAGCACTTGAGAGGCTGAGGCAGGAGGTTCACCATGAGTTAGAGGTCAACCTGGGCTCAAGGCCAACTTGAACTACACAAGACCATCTCAATAGTATGTCTAAATTGTACCAATAAATAATAGTCAATATACATACATACATGGGGTTGGTGACTCGGTAGAGCATTTGGCTAGCTAGCATTTGTGAGACCCTGGGTTCAATCCCTATTCCCATGAAAAACAAATTGATTTTTAGTGTGCTATTCCTGTAGTTGCTACTAACTCCATATAGCTATTCAAATTAAAAATGCAGTTTCTGAGCTGGGCGTGGTGGCACACACCTGTAATCCCAGCACTCAGGATTACAGACTGAGGAAGAAGGACTGTTGCAAATTCGAGACCAGCCTGGACTACAAAGTGAGCTCAAGGCCAGCCTGAACTGCATAGTGAGACCCTGTCTCAAAAAGAATAATGCAGTTCCTCAGTTATACCGGCCACGTGTAGTGCTCAATAGCCACACATGGCTTGTGGCTAGTTCACTGAACATCATGAATATAAAACCTTTCTAGCTGGGTGTGGTGGTACATGCCTGTAATCCTAGTGCTGAGGCAGAACTCAAAAAAAAAAAAAACAAAAAAACCTTTCTACCAGGGAAATACACAACATGGAAGCCAGTGAAAGTGAAAGTCGCATGTCTGTGATAGCATAAATGCTGTTGTTTTAAACCTGTTTCATACTCTAGGAAGTACTCAAAAGTTAGAATTTTTTGACAGTTGGGAGGGTTGAGGAGGTACGCAGTAATTATGAAAACGGAAAACTGAACTCAGATTTAAGCCTAGTAATTACCTGTATAAGAACAAGTGAACAACTGTATAAGAACGAGAATATATGATAAATTCTGCATATATACGATTTTTTGACAGATATTTACATCAGAATGACTAAGCAGATGAAGAATGCAAAGGCAAAAGGCTAAGGTGAAGTAACAGATGGTTTGCATTTATTCCCAATATGGACCGTTAGCTGCATTTGTTATGAATAACTGGTTTTCTAGAACATGTAACTTCAAATGGTACAAGTCAGTTTTTGGATACACACCATTTCCTAAAGAACCTCTCCCAGCACCTCACAGCCTTTGCACCAAGCTACACCCCCAGGCCCCCTTACTTTTGAGACAGGGTCTCTGTGATGGTTAAGCTTAACTGTGTCAACCTGATTGGCTGGGGAGCAGCTGGGGGAGTTAGTAAAGCACACTTCTGGGTGTGTCATGGAGGTGTGAACTTGGTACCAAATCTGGCCCCTGACCCCTTCCTTTCGGGCCCTATTGCCCTGTGGTCGCTATGAACCAACATCTTTGCTCTGTCATGTCCCCCGCACCATGAAGTTTCTATTTGAGTCAGCCAACTATAGACCGAATCCTGAAACTGTGAGCCAAATTAAACCTCTCCTTTAAATTGTGGATGTGGCCTTGCATCTCAAGGGGAAAGCTGAATAAATATTCTTGCAAGTTGCTTGGTTACACAGGCTGGTCTCAGACATCTTCCTGCCTCAGCCTCCCAAGTTGCTGAGATTCTAGGCTTGTACTACCATACATGGCTAAAGCCATGTTTTAATGCACCCATTTTGTAATATTTATGAACACATCACGAACTTCTGAGTTTAGAAAAATCCTAAGAAGCCAGGCACAGGGATGTGTGCCTATAGCTCCAGCCATTGGGAGGCTGAGATAGGATAGCCCAGGACTCTGGGCCCAGCCTAGGCAACATGGAGGGAGGGAAGGAATTAAGAAAGAAAAGGAAGGAAGGGGAGGGAAAGAAAATTCTAAGATTTTTTACTTAACTACAGAATTATTGGCTTTAAAGACCAAATCTATAGAATTAACTATAGAGGACAGGACAGAGCCTGGACTTAAGGTCCAGATTTGCATCCACGAACTTCATTCTTGGTGATCTGTGAGGATTAAATAAAATCCTATATGTAAAACACCTGGGGCGAAGTAGGGACCAAACAAGTGGCTGTGTTTTTTCATTTAAAGGCACCATATTATAAAATATCATTTTATAACATAAAATACTTTTTTGCTGAAAGAATTTAAATGATCACTAGCAATACAATTTTTGTTTTTTAATTTTTTGAGACAGAGTCTCCCTATGCAATTCAGGCTGGCCTTGAACTCACAGCAATCCTGCCTCAGCTTCCCAAGTGCTGGGATTACAGGTGTGTGCCACTATGACCAGCTCTTAGCAATACAAATTTAAATTCAACCTCTGGTCCAATACCTAATTTCTCAGAGAATCAGCTCTGAAAATTATGATTTAAAGATCATACAGTGGCTGGGGATATAGCTCAGCAGCACAAGTGTGAGGTTATGAGTTTGATTCCTGGTACCAAAAAAATAAAGAGATCATATAGCAATACAGTTTTAATAAAAATGTTCTAACATTTAAAACAGTATTTACTTAGGAATAACTGAATTTTCAGAAAAGAAAAAAATGACCAAAGCGAGAAACATTGTAGACTGCCAAAAAAAGGAGTTATGTCTAGAGACTATGTCCAAGTAACAAGGTGTTAGCACCAGTTTTCTCTGGGATTATTTATACTTTCCTTTATTCCCCCAAAACAGTTATGAGGCTATTTCAGTGGTCTAGTAGAGTGACTGGAAGGAGGGTAGTGGGAATGAGCAGAATGGAACAGTTAGTACTGATTCTGTTTTCCACAATTCTCTCAGGTCCACTCCTTTTCAGTTCATTTTGTTATTGTTGCAGCTGTTTTTTTCAAGACAGAGTCTCAATAAGTTGTCCAGGCTAGCTTGAAGATTGTGATCTTCCTGCCTCAGCCTCCCAACAAGTAGCTGGGATTACAGCCTTGCACCACCTCAAATGGCTATCAGTTTTTAATTTAAAAAAGTGGTGGCAGGGGGGAGTGGTGGTGCATGCCTGTAATCCCAGCATTCGGGAGGCTGAGGCAGAAGAATCATTGCAAGTTCAAGACCAGCATGGGCTACAAAGTGAGCTCAAGGCCAGCCTGAACTGCATAGCAAGACCCTGTCTCAAAATGGAAAAAAAAAAAAAAAAAAAAAGTGGTGGCAAGCCAGAAACGGTGATACACACATTTAAGCTATCTGGAGGCTAAGGCAGGAAAACTGCCAAGTTCCAGGGCAGCCTGAGCAACTTAGTGAGACCCTGTCTTGAAAGAAACGAAAAGAAACAAAAAGTAAAGAGAAAAAGGGCTCAGGATATAGCTGAGAGCTCCCTGGCTTCAATCCTCAAGATGGCAAAAACAACTGGAATGTAGTTAGTAGAAGCAGCAAGTTGCTAGGCCCTCTCAACTCCAAAAGCAAAAAAATTAGAAATCAAGACCAAGAGTATGTGAAGGCTATTCTAAAACTTACAAAAGCCGAAGCTGGTTTGTCCCAAGCAATTCCTACATAACGCTTAGTGAAGACCATTCCGTATGTAAAATATGTGAATACAGAATGATGTGATTAACAAGTGTACATTAAGTATTCCTCATCCAAAACACGTGACCAGAAGTATTTCAGATTTCAGGATTTTTTCCACATTTCTACAACATACGCTATCATGGGGTGGGACAAAATCCTTTCGTGTTTCCTATCTACTGTGCACACAGAGCCTGAAGGGAATTTCACGCGATACCATGCTTCTGGAAGGAAGGCAGTTCGACTGTGACCTGTCATGAGCCAGTGTGGAATCCTCCACTTGGGGCATTCCATCAGCACTTATGAAATTCTGCATTTTGAATGAGGGGTGCCCAACGTGTATATGGTTTAACACTGAAGTTTTCACTATCGTTTAGAACACTAATACTCCAGTTTATTTTGTGGCATATACAAACTTCACTTTGCTTTGGGGAAGTAGTCTGGTGGTAGAACTTCTACCTAGCATACACAAGGCTCAG